CTGAAGCAGAACATCTCTGCTTTAAAAATCTTCTAAAGGAATTAATGATGTTTTGGTATTTCTTCAGCCAGATTTGGTCCTTATATTTTTACAAAATAGTCATTTTGAAATTTTCGGCTATCAAATGTGGATCAGTGACTGTTCATATTGTTTGAAATGATGTGTTACACTCGCTTTTGATTTGTTTTATATATTACTTCATTAATTAATGTCCATGTAGCCGTGATATTACCTTTAGCTTCATTAAATTTACGATTGTAATAGCTTGTCTTTGCTAGTGAATTTAACTTTGTTAAATCTATTTTGGTATATATTATATGTATGTACTGTCGCCACACTGCCTGCTGTGAAGTATAGGCAGTGTGAATGTGTAAATATATTTCTTTAAGGCTCAACCCATTCGCTCCTGGAGATTTTGCCGAAAAACTCGTTTTGAAGCTAGTCGAGTGGTTTTCTGGTCACTGTCGTGCTATAAAGAGCTAAAACTTACCACAAACCGGTTTGCAGGTCGTACACTTTGCGGCCTTCTGATCCAGATGCAAAATATCAGCTTGCGAAGTTCGGGCATGCGCAGAAAGCAAAATTTCGAGTCTTGACTTTTACTTTTCGCTTTCTCTCCTCCCTTGTTTTTTCGCTTTTCTTGCCTCATTTTTTTTCTCTTGCTGGGCATTTAGTAGGCTTCATTTTGGTGGGAAGAGTTTTTAGGAAAGCTTTTAGGATCATAGGATTAGTTGAAAGGAAAGGTAGGTGAGTAATGGAACAAGATTTTCATGGAGATTTTTGGGTCAGTGTCACGTGGTTTTTTGCTTCTTTCTCCGGTGTCCTTGACTGAATTGTGCTCATTCTGGTATGGTTTGAAAGATCTCTTCACTCTGCACAAGTTAGCGAAGAAAGTTGTCCTTGACCCTTAAAACTGATGACGTCACGAAGGGTAGATAGCACCTGGATCCGCACGGGCGGTTACGGGCGGTTCAGGGGCAAATGGGTTAATAAAGTTGTTGTTGTTGTTAAAAAATGTTGACTTGGAAACTTTTTTTGCAACTTCCTCAGGATTTACTTGCAATACTATTGTGGCGACCTCTCCATAATGGCCACTTTCTTCTCAGTCCTCAAGGTGGCCATTGTGGAGAGGTTCATTGGTATCTTTTTTTGTTTAGTTTAACCAGACTGAGGAGAATTCAAGACCTAATTAAGTGCAGCAAAAGTCCCTTGGGTGCCATAGATGGGATTCTTTGTATCCTTGGTAAGTCTGTTACTGCTTCTCTTTTTGTTTGATAGCATTTATTAAACTCTCGTACATTTCCCATTTTTTACATGTGTGTACAGTTTGGAGAGTTACATGTAGTAGCACATATCAGGGGCATGGGATCCAGGATTTTTCGTAGGAGGGGATGCACCACTTAGGAATGGCATAACTGACTGGTGACGTAAACAAATTTTAAAAGTGAATACAAAGAAGGCATTTGACTAGCCACCAACATAATGTGAACTGCGGAGAATAGAATTCATACACACAGTCGAACCCCGCTATTTCGAAGTCCCAAGGGAAATGAAAAAAAGTTCGAAATAGCGGGGCTTCGAAATAGCCGGGGAAGTGTAAAGGGGAAGGGTAAATCCAAGGGCATTCGATCTTCCTTCGAAATAGCGGGGATTTCGAATTAACCGAGTTCGAAATAGCGAGGTTCGAATGTATTTCCATATTTTACAGAATATCAGTTGTATTAGAAAGCCCAGGTCATCTTGGGGGGGTGGGGGGTGCACCCTCCCCCTAGATCCATCCCTGCATATACTGTATTTTGTAAAAGATATTCCTCGCACCAATATTGTTATGATCTCAGCTACAATCCCTCATAGTCGCTCTGTATCTTAAAAAACGTATGTGTTTATTTATGCTATCTTGTTTGTGATAACCCTTGTGATTTCACATTTTTCTACATTTGACGTCCATCCAAAATATTGTCAATAATGATACACTTGTGCATTGTTTTTTCCCATGGTTTTTGTTTTGTCTTCCTATAGATCTCCTATCAAATACTGCAGAAATTTCTTAGAGGTTCTTAGAATATATATTATTTTTCAATATAAAAAATTCACTCAGGTATTGATGATTCTTACGTTAGAAAGCTTATTTAGCATTCTGTGTATTTGTTATCTGATGTTGCTAAAAAGGTTTCAAAATTTATTGAATGTATTATTTTCCTTTTAGGTGTGGATAGCAGGTAAGATTTCAACTACACGCTTGTACAGTATTACTGTAAAACGGGGTTTCGTCAATGAAACATATTGATAAATGTCTACAGTAGACAATATTTTTGTTAACAAAAAATGAAGATCTACAGCTGTATGGTAATATTATTAGAGTCAACAGTATCATTCCTGAGGGATTTCTCTGTAAGTTACAGTGGTCAGCGGCGAGCAAGCAAGATGGCCTTGGCTTTTTTACCTCACCTTTAAATCGACATATTTGTTTACTTCTTGTATGTTTTTATGTTATTTCTGGCTTATTAATCATGCCAGAAAAAGTAGCTACCTTGAAAAAAGAAAATATTGAGCTTTTGAAGTCACAAATTGCCAAACTTTCTTCAGAACTAAAGAACCTCAAGTGACAAAGTTTCTTGGTGTTCTATTAGATCAGCATCTTCCTTAGGAATTTCATTTTTAAGTCCTGTTACTAAAAAAGTATCAAAGACTTTAGGAATCATAAGTAAGGCTCGTTTCTTTCTTTCTTCTAAATCTTTGTTATCCTTATACTATACATTGGTTTACCCGTCTCTTAACTACTGTAACAATGCATGGTGCTCAACGTATCCATCCAATTTGAATAGGCTTCTCTACCTACAGAAACGGATTGTCAGAATCATTTGTGGAGCTGAATATCTTGCCCATACTGCACCTCTTTTTCGGACTCTTAATGTCCTTGAAATCTTTAACAAACATAAGTGCGTTCTTTGTTGCTTGTTTTATGTACTCATATCATAATAACCTCCTTCCTAATACTTTTAACACCATCTTTGGTACTAATCACCAAGTAAACACATGTACTGGAAATGCTAATAACTACCTGCTATATTTCTGTAGAACCAACATTAAGGTATCATCCAGGGTAAAAAACCATCATTTTTCGAAATTTTCAATTTTTAGCTGATTAAGTAGAGTTCAACAAGAGCTTTCTTTTACAAAAAATTCCAGGGAAAAATGTTTTTTCTGTGCAGACTTATGGAGCGCAAAAGTTTTTTCTATGCTAATTAGTTTAATTGATCGTTGACAAGTCCTGTCATACTTGATGCGCATGCCGCTGTGGAACAAAGCTTATCACGCAATTTGACAGAAATCGTGATCTACAAGTATAGTGCTCACTGTTTTTCCCTCGATTTTGGAAGTGAATGCCTCCAAAGAAGAAAAAAGAGCTTGTCCGTTTTCATCCTTGACTCCAAGACGAAAGAAGACGGCAAAATCGCTTTGCAAAGTGTGGGTTTCGAAATTAGCAGAGAGCGATAAGGGCTCCTACTACAATCAAGAAAAATGGCTAAAAGATGACAAAGCTTCTGAAAAACCCATTGAAACTACCGCGAAATCGAGTTTCACGAGTTTCTTAGCGAATGGAGCAAGCTTTTTAAGCTGCGAAGCGACCAAGCGAGCGACAAATTCGCGATCGGTCCCACACCATATAAAAATCGGACGAAGGACTTTTTTGAAAGTCTATTGTAGCGGGAGAGCAGCCTCAAGAAAAACTCCAGGAAGCGGTTTGTTGTCGATTTTTCCAGGGAAGTGTCGAACATTTAGAAAATGTATCGAGTAAAAGTTGGCTTGGCTCAAAATGAAAACTGCCCGTCGCAAATAACTAAAGATGCTTTCTCGACAACAGAAGGATCGAACAGAGCAGAGCGTTTGAAATAAACTGTTCATCTGTTCTTGGGTTTCGTTTGTAACCTTTTCCTGCTGTGTCACTATTGTTGTCCCTTTTCTGGTATGCATCAACATTGACAGCTTTGGTGTTATAATCTGTTATAATCTCGTCACGGGCAATCATGCCGCCAAAACTCTTTTTCCCCTGTTTTCTCGAAATGAAAATCAGGGCAAGTTGAGGGTACATTTTAAATTCCAAGTCGGCAACCCGTGTACCAATTTGGCTGAAATTTGGCCAACTTGCTGTCAGATAGTTTTTCTAAAAAACTGTGTCTGCAAATTTTGATTTCTTTTTTCGTTTTCGAGTTAGAGTATTTTTTTCACAGGTAGTGCTAATGATTTGCTATCCCTAACTTCACCTGCTTATAATAACAGAACAAACGCACTTGACAAAAATCTGAGACACGGTTTTTTTAGTCAAACGTGTTAAGAAGCGAATGCGATGTTAATTGGCTTCTCCCGATTATTTTTGGCTGGCCTGGACTTAAATTCACAGCGACACCCACTGTCACAAAAAGCTTCTCATTTCTGAATCGCGTTAATATTTTGATTTTTTAAAAGGAATAAGCAATAATCTGGCACTATTAAGCTTTCAGAAAATGTACGGTTTATGGGGGTATTTATTAAAAGCAAAAGCGCTAGCGCCGATCAACGCGGGGAGGGTGCTTAAGGATGGATGATACCTTAAACAGTTTAAAATCCTCTAACTAGGAGGACATAAACTATGGAACTCCTTTCCCCATAATCTTGTGCAACTGACAAGTTACTCTAGATTCAAGACTTCATTTAAAGGATAACTTATCATGAGAACTATAAATTAAACTCGCCTGACCACGATATGGCAGCTTACACTAAATCATAATTAAATATGAGGATCTTGAGCCCAATTTCTTCAAGCTTTGTAGCTTCTATTGGGCTTCTTCGCTACTTTAACCATTACAAAACTTAAGTTGCTTACTTTGAACTATTTTTTTGTAGCTCTTGCTGCCCTGTAAATTTGTAATCTTAGCAAACAAATTTTTTCTGTAATATTTATTCTATGTGGCAAAATGTATAAATAAAAAATAAAATAAATAAAATTCTTTCATGTTTGTTTTCAATTTAGGTACAATGTTGGGACAAAACATCTTCTTAACTTCTTACTTTTTGGATATTGTGAACTTACACCACCAGATATCGGGTAAGAAGGAAAAAAACTAGCTTTATTATTATGTTTATAATAGGTCAAAGATTAAATCTTGAGTTCTCATGTGCTATTTATTTCTGGTTTATTCTGGTAGTGGAAGCCGAATCACTGAAGAAGATTTAGAAGGTACCCTTTCTTAAAAGTTATAAATACCCTCAAATGTAACAAGCAATATCAAGTCCCAATGTCTGGTCACCTTCCAGTGAAATGGACTTATGCAAAGACTAATGAAAATTTTAATTAGTCAAAGGCTGAGGTCACACTTGAGAGTTTAGTGTAGTGTTAAAGCCTTAACTATGGTTAAAAAAAAGGTAGACAAAGTTTACTATGGTAAATCAGACTTGTTTACTTTAACCTTTCTGCAGTGCTTTTCATGATTCAATTGTGTCATCAAACGTTAAGTTGGTGGCAGATGAGAATAAATACAGATATTCCTTGTCGTGTGCATGATTGCTGATTGGTTAAAGTCGTTTCGAAATATTTCACCATTCCCTCGTGGAATCTGAGTGGGTGATTGTGACGATTGTGGCTCTTTTCCTTTTGATTTTTGCTATTCTGAGAGCTCAGCAGTTTCGATTTTTCTGAATGGTTCAGCCGAGATTGGAAAATGAGCTGTTGCACTTGGCTCCACGCGTGGATAATTTGCAGACGGTGAAGCGTTCTCTAGACCTAAAATGTATGGTCCACCATAGACCGGGCGATCGTCTAGATAAACGCTGGGGGGAATAATAAAACTACGAGATGGTGGAGCTCTGAAATGAAAAGAAAACAAAGAAAAGAAGGTTTGAAATGTGCCATCAACAAGTACAAGTCACTTGATAAAGCCAAAACATAACTTAGAGTAAAAAAATCATAGGTACTTATATGACTGTGTGTTTACCATTCAGAAATATATACCTCTTATTAGCCGAGTTTTCGGTCTGTACTGTAAATTACAGACCAAGTTTTTTTCCATCGATTTATGGCCCAAGCGTGAAGCACACAGGCCATAAATCGATGGAAAAAAATGAGGATCCGTAATTGACAGTGAAAGACTATATTTCCAATACTAAACTAAAAGAAGGCGATCATTATTACATCCAAACACGGCACAAGGATCTTTTTTCCCATTACAATCTTATCTAAGAAAACTTTAAGAAAAAATGTCCTGAAAAGCGCTCAAAAATACAAACGAAATGTGTTCATGCCCCCTGGGCATCCTATAATACTCCTGAAATCGAATTAATTCAATATGGCCACCGTATCGGTAAAAAGGTCTATTCCAACGGGCCATATTTGATTCTTACTTAACCCATTCGCCCCTGAACCGCCCGTAACCGCCCGTGTGGATCCAGGTCCTTTCTACCCTTTGTGACGTCATCAGTTTTAACGGTCAAGGACAACTTTCTTCGCACACGTGTGCAGAGTGAAGAGATCTTTCAAACCATACCAGAATGAGCACAATTCAGTCAAGGACACCAGAGAAAGAAGCAAAAAACCACGTGACAAGGACCTGAAAATCTCCATGAAAATCTTGTTCCATTACCCACCTACCTTTCCTTTCACCTAATCCTAAGATCCTAAAAGCTTTCCTAAAAACTCTTCCCACCAAAATGAAGCGTACTAAATGCCCAGCAAGAGAAAAAAAAAATGAGGCAAGAAAAGCGAAAAAAGAAGGGAGGACAGAAAGCGAAAAGTAAAAGTCAAGACTGCTGTGTCACTTTTAAACCCTAAAACTATGTCGAAATTTTGCTTTCTGCGCATGCCCGAACTTTGCAAGCTGATATTTTGCATCTGGATCAGAAGGCCGCCAAGTGTACGACCTGTAAACCGGTTTGTGGTAAGTTTTAGCTCTTTATAGCACGACAGTGACCAGAAAACCACTCGACTAGCTTCAAAACGCGTTTTTCGGCAAAATCTCCAGGAGCGAATGGGTTAACAGGGATTTATTTCAGAAAAGCAAGATCAGTTGTTGTTATTATGCGTTTTGTATAAGTATAAAAGTCCTATTCCGATAAAATGAAATAATGAAATTAACTACAATACAGATTTCTGTTCATTCATAAACTATGTATGCTGGCATTGATAATGTGTTGCATTGCACATGTATGCAACTATTTAATTATAGGCAATTCTGTATGAAGTGCTCATTGGTATCTGTCTAAAACACCCCAGAAAACCTTGTGTGGCTCCTGTAGATAATTTTTTTTGAGGCCTAAGCCTGCCATGTGTAGAGTTGGTAAATGGCTTTCATTAAGTTGGCTGTATAAAAATTATAGAGCTTTGCATTTGCAAAGTTACCTGTATACATTTTGTGATGCTCATGCTTTTTTCCTTTTATATTATTGTATATTGCCAGATGTTGTTGTAGTTGTCAAGGCAGAAAGTGTTCATGTTTACTGCAACCCTCTTAACTATCCTTATTTGCT